TAGCGTCTTATCTACGGTGGCTGGCATGAAATTGCATTCCATGGCATTAGAAGAAGCGTTTTAAAGGCAGAGCACATACCATCACGAAACAAGTCAAGAAACGAGTTCATACCGCACAGACGTGAAGTTCTACTGTTATAAAGTGTTGATATTTTTATCTGTTGAAGCATGGCACAGTTTGTGTATTTTGCTGCTTTATTGGTGTTGTATGGAACAGGCGACTCACTGGAAACCACTACCAGCCCTCAGCAACAAAATAGCGGCGATAGCAAGGACTTATGTGAGGTACAAAGTTGAATATCAATTGTCTCTATTAACAAAAATTAATCTGTTAAACACGAGCTGTAAAGATATTTTGTATGATTTACAGTACTTCTCATTTCTATCAGCTCAGTTTTGGATTGAAGCAAAAAGGCTTACGTTTCTAGTCCCAAATCGAGGCTGAACTCTGAGGTAAGTTAGGCAAAGCGATATAAGAATGTTTGCTTCCTAAGTCATAGTAAATTCTCTCAAAGAATGTTAATGATGTCCGTGTTGCACTCAATAAGAGTCGGCTTCACAAACGAGCAAACATTGTTATGCAAGAATTAGAGGAACACATTTGACCTGATTAAGAAATATATATCAAGAACGTGACAATTGTCTCAAAATTAACAGGATTTTATCTTGTCAAAGCAGACCCGCAAGGCCACAAGTCCACTAACAGACACACTGACACTAACAGTACTGTAATAACAAGTAACTGATTCGCTAATACAGAAAGAGACCAAAATGCGATTGTTTTTCATGCCACTATATCTATTGACATAAGAATCATTTTGTTCTCGTGTTGTTTAAGTTTCACATTGTGTTTCTTAGTCCAATGGATGCATTTGTTGCTTTTTTCTTAGAAATCCATATCTACCCGTGGATATCCGGGTATTCCGGGATTCAATGGCATGCCGGGAATGCCTGGTATTCCGGGGCCCCAAGGGCCGCAGGGAAGAGATGGACTTAAAGGACAGACTGGCGACAAGGGATCGCAAGGAATGATTGGACAAAAGGGAGGGAAAGGAAATGAAGGACCTCGTGGAAAGAGCGGACCGCCAGGCATAATGGGAATAAAAGGAGCGCGGGAAACTATGGGTGATCAAGGAATAAAAGGCGATAAGGGAGAGAAAGGAGAAAGCGTGACAAGTCCTTCCAGTGCAGTGCCACAAACCAACTGGAAACAATGTGTGTGGAAAAATATGAATGATGGACGAGATAGCGGTAAGATCAAGGTAAGAGAGAAGTGTTCTGTTTGCCAATGGTTATGGGCAAACTGAATTTACTTTTGTCACCTAATATAAGTTAAAATTCTGATTCAGAATTGGGAATCAGAATTTTATCATCCAAAGTCTGAGTACATATGCTGTTATTAACAGAAATATTTTGCCAGCTGGTTTTGCATATCATGGTGACGAAACTGATATTACATCTTTAAGATAATGAGAAGAGGAATTTGACTTGCGTATTGGAGTACTGATCATGCATTCACATTTATTCTTTTATCATTACTTAGCAAAACAAGTGTGATATAGGAATCTTTGTTACGTAATCCACATACTACGTAAGGGTGAATCGTTCATACTATCATACTAGATACTCAATTCAAGTCCAAAATTAAGTCGAAGCACAAGTTTTCTACAATAATAAACCAAAAACATGAGAATCGGTGAAAAATAGAACCGCAATCGGTGAAAAATAACACGCACAAAACCCTTACCGACTGTTTCGTTCTAAACAGGTAAACAATACGACATGATGAAAAACATCTACGTCTACTTCTTTAGTTCAGCTATTTGGTGTTCAAATTTGGCGACTCAAAAATTCAACCAAGAGTAAGCTTTCTAACACATCACCAAGCTCGCCGGATGCGGTTCCGCGATGGGTGCACAACGATTGTACCACCTAACAAAGTGTGAGTCCTTGGATCAGTGGCGACATCGTCGAACTTGTACCTGGTCCTAGATCATCGATTCAACTCTTTTTTGGGGCTCAGAATTCAAATACCATTTTCTGTGTAAACTCAGCGACGCAAAGGTCTTCATTATTAAATTTTGTTGGCCCCTTCTATTATTTAGTTGGGTGTGGACTGAGTACTAGGTATTTTTAGATTAGGTCCTCTGCGTGTTCTTTTGTTTGGAAGGAAGGAGAAGGAGATTTGATTTCACGGACGCTTGGCAAGGGCTTTGCATTGAACGGAATTTGAGGAAACTATAGTGTTGGGGTAATTGAGATTTGTGTTTGGCCTAACTAACTTCGGGAACGGCATTTGTTATCGTCTAATATTTTTTGGTATGAGATAATAAACACAGATGGTAGAGGTGCTATTTTTTGTTATCCCACGGAGGTGTCACAACTATTCTCTGCTAAGCTTTTTCCTTTTCCATTATTTACTTCTTTTTTAGATACATAATATGACCACTGTAAAATAGTTCGAGGCAATGCAATCTACACCTTGTGTAAAATGTAACACCAAAATCATAGTGACTGTGGTCTTGCTATTGACAATTTAGTGTAACGGATTGTACTGCACAGATAAGTGAACGCTTTTTAAGGAGCCAGTGTTCCCAAAAACTCACCCAGATTGACGCCCCCCCTTTAGATTTAAGGGTAGCTCCTTACACCACGTTAGCCTGCGAGCAGGCTCACCTTTGAATCACGCGCGAGCGACGAGGAACGAAGCAATCCGTCAAGAAAGTGAGCCTGCCTTAATCTCTGTAATTTTTGCGTTCACTTAGTGTAACGCAATCATGATACAGTCTGTATCGAAAATTTTTTCGGACGGATTTGTTC